GGATTCTTGCTTATTTTCTTTTCTTTTCTTTTTTTTTTTTTAGGCGTTGTATTATAAATTTATATTGTATATTACAAGAGGAGTACCCAATAAAGCTGTGGAAAAAAAAAAAGACCAAATGCCGTCCTAACCGTGTAGTTCTAGTATAACTTCAGCTAATACAATGCCTACCTCAGATATAAATTCCCGAGCAGTCTTGATAGTTCGCTTGATTTGTCACGACGAAAAAGTCTACGAGGAAATCACATTTTGCAAAACAAGTCAGTACAAAAGTCAATTGCATTTTCCTTCACATAATAACCGGACTTGCACAAAACTTACCTTTAAGCAACAATCAACCCTTCTACCAAGAAGAAATTAAACCTATGGGACTTTTCCGTTTCTTTAGCTTTCAGTTTCATTTTGATCAAATTACGTCAAGAAAAGTGACGTAACTGCTTCCAGAAATAGCTCTCGAAATGTAGCCATCCAATGAAAATTTGAAAATAATAAAGCATATGAGGAATTAGCCAGAGAGAGTAAAAACGACTCGAAGCAATCGTCTGAAATTCCCGCTAACGAGGGGTAAAATTAAATCTAATATACAGTTATGTCTTTTGATGATAAGTTTTCCTTGCCAGCTAGATGTTTCTCTCACTGTTTCGGATCCCAAGACAGAACTCTCGCCTGCTACTATTTTTGCAACCGTTTACGTGCTGCGAAGCCATATGTCACGTGATTAGTGTCGAATCATGACCGTCAAATCATGTCTGAAAATCCGGGTAGCAATGAAATCAGCAGTAATAAAGTAGCCGCTCAATAGAGGTTTACTGTCCCATTCTTTTCTACAAGTATTTCGGAACTTTGATTACTGGACGCTTGATGGAGGATGGCTGCTTAATAGAGGTTCAACTGTATACAGAGTGGAATGATAACCATGTATGCATAATAAATCAGTAAAAGGGCTGAGAGGAAATCCTACATGATGGGATGGGAAAAAGTCCCCTGCGAACTAAAAGATCATATACAACACGGCCTTATTAAACAGAGACATGCTTGGCAAAATTTTCGGCGAGATAAATAACGAAATACGCGCCGTTCTCAGGTAAAGGAACCGAGGAGTTCTAGTATAACTTCAGCTAATGCAATGCTTACCTCAGTTATAAATCCCCGAGTAGTCTTGATAGTTCGCTTGATTTGTGACGACGAAAATGTCTACAAGGAGATCATATTTTGCAAAACAAGTCAGTATAAAAGTCAATTGCATTTTCCTTCACAAAATAACCGGACTTGCACAAAACTTACCTATAAGCAACAATCAAACCTTCTACCAAGAAGAAATTAAACCTATGGGATTTTTCCCTTCCTTTATTAGCTTTCAGTTTCAACAAAACTGACGTAAGTGCTTCCAGAAATAGCTCCCGAAATGCAACCATCCATGAATAAAAGCAAGGGGTTAGCCCGAATTTCTTGACGATTACTTCGACTCGAAGCAATCGTCTGAAATTCAGGCTAAAGAGTGGCAGGGTGCAAAGAAAATCATCTTTGCAGCTTGCCATTCGGGCAAGCTGAAGCTAGCATTTACTAGCCCAAACGTCATTTCAACTAGCCCCAAAAGCTTTTTGACAAGCAGAATTGATTCACAGTTCTTCTTCAATTTGAATTCCTCTAAAAACATCACTTGCCCGTCGGGCAAGTTAAGAACAGAATTCACTAGCCCGATAGCAAAATCCACTAGCCCCGGGCTATCGGACACTACTTTCTTTGCACGCTGAGTGGTCAAATTAAATCAAATACATACATTTATTACTACGCGGTGCCTATATGCCTGGCAGCCGGGAACGGTCTTAAAAAAAAACTATAAATGTCCGGCAGTCAGAAAATTTTCTAGAATTTCTGCAAAATCCCTTTTTCTAGCACTATCTAATCGTCTGAAAGTATTCCATCTTCATTTAGAATTACCAAGCGATCAGGAAAACAAGAATGGCTTCGGAGATGAGGGGTTGTGGTTTCTCGGGCATAGAGTAGTTTCGACGCTGTAAATTAGGGTTAGATACAATTATTATGCTCGAAAATTTGAGCATAATGGCTAATATGCATGTATTCTGGAGCTTAACAGAAGGCGTCTTCACTTTCCTGGTTCGCTTTGAGACTGGCGGGTATTTGGCTTGTTTGAAATCGTGCCTGTGAGTAACGCCCGGTTTATTCTATTCTGCGAAACGAAACGAAACGAAACGAAATATATTGGGAAAGAGAAAAAATGCTTATTATCACGCGCTGCGACTCACGAAATTATTCCCAGGCTAATTGTCGAAACAGCGTCTGACAGCGTCGACTCTACTCTATACCGAAGAAACCACAACCGCTCAGCTGCGAAGCGAGTTTTGTTTTCCTGATCGCTTGGTTATTCTAACTTTGACACTGAAAGTTTCGACGAGATAAATGACCAAACGCCATTCTAAGGTAAATGAACCATGGAGTTCTAGTATAACTTTAGCTAATACAATGCCTACATGTACCTCAGTTATGAATTCCAGAGTAGTCTTGATAGTCAGAAAATCATATTTTGCAAAACAAGTTCAAGTTCAGGTTTAACTGTATACAGAGTGGAATGATAACCATGTATGCATAATAAATCAGTGAAAGGGCTGAGAGGAAATCCTACATGATGGGATGGGAAAAAGTCCCCTGCGAACTGAAAGATCATATACAACACGGCCTTATAAAACAGAGACATGCTTTGACAAAAGTTTCCGCGAGATAAATAACGAAATGCGCACCGTTCTATGGTAAAGGAACCGAGGAGTTCTAGTATAACTTTAGCTAATGCAATGCTTACCTCAGTTATAAATCCCCGAGTAGTCTTGATAGTTCGCTTGATTTGTCACGACGAAAATGTCTACGAGGAGATCATATTTTGCAAAACAAGTCAGTATAAAAGTCAATTGCATTTTCCTTCACAAAATAACCAGACTTGCACAAAACTTACCTATAAGCAACAAACAACCCTTCTACCAAGAAGAAATTAGACTTATGGGATTTTTCTCTTCCTTTAGCTTTCAGTTTCAACAAAAGTGACGTAAGTGCTTCCAGAAATTGCTCCCGAAATGAAGCCATCCATGAATAAAAGCAAGGGGTTAGCCCGAATTTCTTGACGATCAAATACTTCGACTCGAAGCAATCGTCTGAAATTCAGGCTAAAGAGTGGTCAAATCAAATCAAATACATAAAGTTATTAATACGCTGTGGCTATATGCTCGGCAGCCGGGAGGGGTCTTCAAAAAAAACTATAAACGCCCGGACGTCAGAAAATTTTCTAGAATTTCTGCAAAATGCCTTTTTCTAGTACTTTCTAATCGTCTGAAAGTATTACATCTTCATTTAGAATTACCAAGCGATCAGGAAAACAAGAATGGCTTCGCAGATGAGGGGTTGTGGTTTCTCGGGCATAGAGTAGATTCGACGCTTTAAATTAGGGATATTATGCTCGAAAATTTGAGCATAATGGCTAATATGCATGTATTCTGGAGCTTAAGAGAAGGAGTTTTCACTTTCCAGGTTCGCTTTGAGACTGGCGGGTATTTAGCTTGTCTGAAATCGTGCCTGTGAGTAACGCCCGGTTTATTCTATTCTGCCAAACGAAACGAAACGAAACGAAATATATTGGGGAAAGAGAGAAAATGCTTATTATCACGCGCTGCTACTCACGAAATTTTTTCCTAGCCTAATTGTCGAAACGGCGTCTGACAGCGTCGACTCTACTCTATACCCAAGAAACCACAACCGCTCAGCTGCGAAGCGAGTTTTCGTTTTCCTGATCGCTTGGTTATTCTCACTTTGACAAAAGTTTCCGGGACATAAATGACCAAACGCCATTCTAAGGTAAAAGAACCATGGAGGTCTAGTATAACTTCAGCTAATGCAATGCCCACATGTACCTCAATTATAAATTCCCGAGTAGTCTTGATAGTTCGGTTGATTTGTCACGACGAAAAAGTCTACGAGGAAATCATAGTTTGCAAAGCAAGTAAGTATAAAAGTCAATTACATTTTCCTTCGCATAATAACCGGACTTGCACAAAACTTACCTATAAGCAACAATCAACCCTTCTACCAAGAAGAAATTAAACCTATGGGATATTTCCTTTCCTTTACCTTTCAGTTTCAACAAAAGTGACGTAAGTGCTTCCAGAAATTACTCCCGAAATGCAGCCGTCCAAGAATAAAAGCAAGGGGTTAGCCCGAATTTCTTGACGATTACTTCGACTCGAAGCAATCGTCTGAAATTCAGGCTAAAGAGTGGTCAAATTAAATCAAATACATACAGTTATTAATACGCTGTGGCTATATGCTCGGCAGCCGGGTAGGGTCTTCAAAAAAAACTATAATCGCCCGGACGTCAGAAAATTTTCTAGAATTTCTACAAAATGCCTTTTTCTAGTACTTTCTAATCGTCTGAAAGTATTCCATCTTCATTTAGAATTACCAAGCGATCAGGAAAACAAGAATGGCTTCGCAGATGAGGGGTTGTGGTTTATCGGGCACAGAGTAGATTCGACGCTTTAAATTAGGGTTATTATGCTCGAAAATTTGAGCATAATGGCTAATATGCATGTATTCTGGAGCTTAAGAGAAGGAGTTTTCACTTTCCAGGTTCGCTTTGAGACTGGCGGGTATTTAGCTTGTCTGAAATCGTGCCCGTAAGTAACGCCCGGCTTATTCTATTCTGCGAAACGAAACGGAATATATTGGGGAAAGAGAAAAAATGCTTATTATCACGCGCTGCGACTCACGAAATTATTCCTAGGCTAATTGTCGAAACAGCGTCGACTCTACTCTATACCCAAGAAACCACAATCGCTCAGCTGCGAAGCGAGTTTTGTTTTCCTGATCGCTTGGTTATTCTAAATAAAGATAGAATACTTTGACAAAAGTTTCCTCGAGATAAATGACCAAATGCCGTTCTAAGATAAAGGAACCGTGTCGTTCGAGTATAGCTTCAGCTAATGCAATGCCTACCTCAGTTATAAATTCTCGATTAGTCTTGATAGTTCGTCTGATTTGTCACGACGAAAAAGTCTACGAGGAAAACATATTTTGCAAAGCAAGTCAGTATAAAAAAGTCAATTGCATTTTCCTTAACAAAATAACCGGACTTGCACAAAACTTACCTATAGGCAACAATCAACCTTACCACCAAGAAGAAATTAAACCTATGGGATTTTTCCCTTCCTTTAGCTTTCAGTTTCAACAAAAGTGACGTAAGTGCTTCCAGAAATTACTCCCAAAATGCAGCCATCCATGAATAAAAGCAAGGGGTTACCACGAATTTCTCGACGATTACTTCGACTCAAAGCAATCGTCTGAAATTCAGGCTAAAGAGTGGTCAAATTAAATCAAATACATACAGTTATTAATACGCTGTGGCTATATGCTCGGCAACCGGGAAGGGTCTTAAAAAACTATGAATGCCCGGCAGTCAGAAAATTTTGCTAGAATTTCTGCAAAATCCCTTTTTCTAGTTCTTTCTAATCGTCTGAAAGTATTCCATCTTCATTTAGAATTACCAAGCGATCAGGAAAACAAGAATGGCTTCGCAGATGAGTGGTTGTGGTTTCTCGGGCATAGAGTAGTTTCGACGCTGTAAATTAGGGTTAGATATAATTATTGTGCTCGAAAATTTGAGCGTAATGGCTATTAAATATGCATGTATTCTGGAGCTTAAGAGAAGGCGTTTTCACTTTCTAGGTTCGCTTTGAGACTGGTGGGTATTTAGCTTCTTTCAAATCGTGCCCGTGAGTAACGCCCGGCTTATTCTATTCTGCGAAACGAAATATATTTGGGAAAGAGAAAAAATGCTTATTATCACTGAGGCCCGGTTCAAAAGTCGAATTTCACATGTGCCGAACTTAACGCGAGAGTTAAATGCACGTGAAGTGCGACGTTTGAATCAATTAAATTCGACTGTTTAAATTAAATGCGACGTTTGCCGTATCTGCGACTGAAACAGTCGAAGATTCGACTTAGGTTCGACTTTTGATTCAAACGTCGCATTTCACATGTGCCGAACTTAATGAATGAATTTTAGTAAATTATTATTATATTACTGAGAATATTGACAGCGAAGAGAGTTAAATTCGACAGAGTTCAGTGAGATAAATTCGACGTTTGAATCAAATGCCGTATTTAACTATTTTAGTCGACTAAAATAGCAATTAAATTCGGCACATGTGTAATTCGACGTTTGAACTGGGCCTGACGCGCTGCTACTCACGAAATTATTCCTAGGCCTAATTGTCGAAACAGCGTCTGACAGCGTCGACTGTACTGTATACCCAAGAAACCACAATCGCTCAGCTGCGAAGCGAGTTTTGTTTTCCTGATCGCTTGGTTATTCTAAATGAAGATAGAATACTTTGACAAAAGTTTCCGCGAGATAAGTGACCAAATGCCGTTCTAAGGTAATGGAACCGTGTAGTTCTAGTATAACTTCAGCTAATGCAATGCTTACCTCAGTTATAAATTCCCGAGCAGTCTTGATAGTTTGCTTCATTTGTCACGACGAAAAAGTCCAAGAGGAAATCATCTTTTGCAAAACAAGTCAGTATAAAAGTCAATTACATTTTCCTTCACATAATAACCAGACTTGCACAAAACGTACCTATAAGCAACAATCAATCTTCTACCAAGCAGAAATTAAACCTATGGGATTTTTCCCTTCCTTTAGCATTTAGTTCCATTTTGATCAAATTACGTCAACAAAAGTGACTTTAGTGCTTCGAGAAATAGCTCCCGAAATGCAGCCATCCATAAAAAATTGGAAAATAATAAAGGATTGTGAGGGGTTAGCCTGAATTTTACACGATTACTTCGAGTAGTTTTTACTCCTTTCAGCTGAGGGAGTAAAAACGACTCAAAGCAATCGTCTGAAATTCTGGATAATGAGGGGTCAAATTATAATACGTTGTGGCTACATGCCCGAGCTATATGCCCGGTAGCCGGGAAGCAGCCTGTGTTGCAGCCGGCTCACGCACTCGTCTTATAAACTATCTGTATAGTCCCTCTGCGAATTAGTGCACAAAAACTCGTTCTAATATCCTGCAGAATTGCAAGGACATATGTGAGCGTTTCTGATAGGCGGATTTCTTCCCAGTTTCTTATGCGCCTCACGATTGGCATAGACTGTTCACAGTCCTCTATTTTTCAGTAAGATCGTCGAGATCGAGCGCTTTGCGTTACGAGCTGCCATCTTGCATGAGTGTCAAAACAACTTAGGCGGCGGGGGCGGTTTGGGAGGAGACGAGAACAATAGAGGGACTGTAATAGCCTGCATAGCAGGCGTCGAAAGGGGTAGGGGATAGGGAGGAAGGGAAAAGCAGGGGAATTTGCAACAAAATCGTAAAACGCACTTGACAAAATCTCTGAAATGTTTGTAAATTGAAAACAAAGTTGCTACTAAGTGACGCTTTTAATTTTCAAAAAGTCACTTTTTTCAGTTTTATCCAACTGATTTGGTGAATACTAGTCTAATACAACTACCCCCTCAGAGTCGGTTCATAGCGCTAGATATATACCTCGATACTTCGCGTATTGGTATATACACCACTATTAGTTTACCTGCCCTTCGGGTGACAGACGTATATTACAGATGTTCTGTTTTTAATGATTTACTGATAATTTTAGTAGTCCTGGCTAAAAAGAGGGTGGCCACAAAATAGGGGCTACTTTTTAGAGGTTTAACAGTAATCAACATCTGTTGATTTGAGAAAAGTTGAACATTAATATTGTTAATGGCTAGTCAAGAGATCACATAATGCACGTCAATTACCACAGAGTATGACTTACTTGCAAACAACTCCTCTGTCACTGGCAGTAAATAGTGTACTTCCATTAGAAGCATACCTGAAAATACAAACTCTTTATGTCTAAAATTATTTTTATACTTGGTCTTGTTAACCAAATGAATTTATACGTGAACATCACTTTGACTCTTAATCGAGCAAATTCTTAAATATATAAAATGTTCTTAATACTTGATTTTCCACAGTGGATCTTTCCCATGTTCTTTCATACCTTCTTGAACCCCAACTTCTGGGACAAAACTTGTCAAAAATTCCCCTTCAAACATGATGAGACCTAAAAGACATTGCAGAACAAGACAGGGAAAAATCATCATTTTTGATTATTTGGAATTGCTATACAAGGGGGTATACATACACACTGCCCAGCGCTGTTCACTCAATCCTCTAAACACTTTCCCCACACCTAAAGTAAAAGACCCTGATGAAGAGCAATTTTTGGAAATACTGCCATTTTGGATATTATTCCCGTTATTTATTGTAAGCTATAGTCTCTCAAGCAACCATTTTTGTCATGTCACATATTTTCGAACATGACACAAAAAAACATACATATATGGAAGGTTTCAGAAAAGGGTCATCAATGCATTAAAGCTGCATCACTGTATGAGACATTTAAAATACAACACACAAGTTTTAAGATTCTAATAATAATAAAAACATTTACTTCTATAGCACCATTTTCATTGCTGTCCAATAGCGATTTACAACAACAATTACAGACAGTAACTTTAAAAAAAATTAATAAAATGAACTAATAACAGTGCATTGTAAAAAAATTTGAAAATAAAATTGAGCTATGTGTTAAAATTTACAATATTGTTTAAACAAATAAAAAATGAAAAATATGAATAAAACTAATAAAAGCCAAATAAAAAGAAAATGGAGGAAATGTGTTCCTACAATGATCATAAATTAAAAACCTTCTTAAAAAGATAAGTTTTAACTAAAAGACCTGATTTGTCAAATATAAATATATATATTTTTTATGTTGGGGGGATGTTCATGTGAACATTTTCCACCATCAATATCCATTTACAGGAGGTTTCTTTTATAAATAATCCACTATAATCGATGATCTGGATACCACTAAATTCTACAACAATTTTGTTGCCGACAGCAAATCAAGTACAGCAGGCTCTTTACATAAAATACTGATCACAACATACCATGGGAGATACAATGTACACCAGTGGCATAACACTGGAGTTATAAAAATGAAAAACTAAAAACTCCAGAAACATTTTTCCACAAAAATAATAATCTTGCAGAGGTTGGTTCCACCAAAGAGAATTTTCCACTTAATGGTAACACCAAGACTTTCATCCAGACTCAAAAGCAAGAGCTTCAGGGTATTCATACATCATGACATTATGTCATTAACTAGCTCGAGGAGTAAACAGGGTGCAAAGAAAGTCAGTTTTACAGCTTCCCATTCGTGCAAGCTGCAACTAGCATGTACATTGTACCAGCCCAAGAGTAATGAGCAGGATTGATTACAGTTCTTCTGTAATGCAAATTTGCTAAAAGAAATTCATTTGCCAATAGGGTAAATTGACAACAGAATTCACTAGCCCGATAACCGAAATCCTCTAGTCCTGGGCTATCGGACACGACTTTCTTTGCATACTGGTAAAGGAGTACATAAGTAAATACTTCTTATACATACCAGTCGGCCATAAACAAGGATAGGGAGAGAGCACTTTTCACAAAGGTGGAGAAGTGGATCTTGCACTTTTTGCCCAATCGGCAAAATCTGTGAGGAAGACAGGAGGACAAGCTAAACTATTTTGAAACCTAAATGTCTTGTTTTTGTAACAAACTGATATGATAACAGAAACGTAAGAGCCTAAGTTATCTCATCTACATGTACAGGTACAGTCAACTCTCGCCTTGCGGACACCCCGCTATAACGGACACCCCGATAATACGGACAGCAGATAAATTCCGGGCAAAAATAAATTACAGACATTTGATTGAAATAAACTCCCGCTATTATGGACTCTCGCCACAGAGGACACTAACTTAAGGTCCCTACAGAGTCCGCTATAAAGGGAGTTGACTGTAGATGTATGGGCCTGCCAAAAATTAATGACTTAATTTTGGGGGCTACCATAAAGGAACTAATATATGTCCAAGGCATCTAGTTAATTCTAGGGGTCCAAGTGGGGGCGTTTAATAGTTAGGAGGCATTTAAAAGAGAGAGGTGTTTATTCTCATAACTGTAACAAGCTCAACAAAACTAACATGCTTTTGCAGGGCTCGAAATTTTGCAAGGTTGCCTTTTGGCGACCAACTGGAGAAATATAGTCACCAGATGCAAATATTTAGTGGACAGTTTGTATCACGTAAATGACGCAGCTCATAGTCAGGGCTTCTGATATTTTTGCGATGTCGCAGAGCGGCGAAATTCACAAAACCACGCAAAACACTGCAAACTTTGGTAGAAATCTTATCATTGTTTGTACAACATATGTAATATTTGAAACATTTCTCAGCTATTGGGGCTATTTGCTTGCCGTAAACTTGTAAATTTATCTTGAAACTTTGTCACTAAAATGTGCAAACAACATCCTGAAACTACTAGGCGTAGATTATGTTGCAAAAAACTGGGCACTAGCCATGATGTTAAAGGCTTTGCCATTGTTTCAGTTCTGGAGCGTATAGTTGTTGAATGAGCAAAATTTAATGATCTCTGTTAGAAAAACATTTAAAACACTGGTCTATGGTCAGCGCAAAACTGATCAATCTCTAACAAAGTTTTCCCTGAAAATAACCACAAAATCGGCCTTTTTTTACTGATTGATTTTTGGCTAAGTTTGTTCCACAAATTCCCATGAAATCAGTCAATTTTTCTGCGAATTTCCCCTAAAAATCCCGTAAAATTTGACTTTTTCCACGACCTATCAGAAGCCCTGCATAGTATGGTGCAATCCATCAGATTTGAAAATCTCGTGGATAGAAGTCGGTATAAATTTGGAGGTAAACTGGCTTTGTTTATGCGATTTGGCACATTTTTTACGATGAAAGCAAACCAGGATAAGATGAAATGTTTGTTTTAACTTTACTAATTTAATTTAACCCATTCGCCCCTGAACCGCCCGTAAATCGCCCGTGCGGATCCAGGTCATTCTACCCTTTGTGACGCTATCAGTTTTAATGGTCAAGGACAACTTTCTTCGCTGACTTGTGCAGAGTGAAGAGATCTTTCAAACCATACCAGAATGAGCACAATTCAGTCAAGGACTCCGGAGAAAGAAGCAAAAAACCACGTGACCTTGACCTGAAATCTCCATGAAAATCTTCTTCCATTGCCCACCTACCTTTCCTTTCATCTAATCCTAAGATCCTAAAAGCTTTCTTAAAAACTCTTCCCACCAAAATGAAGCCTACTAAATGCCCAGCAAGAGAAAAAAAAAATGAGGCAAGAAAAGCGAAAAAAGAAGGGAGGAGAGAAAGTGAAAAGTAATAATTTTGCTTTCTGCGCAAGCCCGAACTTCGCAAGCTGATATTTTGCATCTGGATCAGAAGGCCGCGAAGTGTACGACCTGTAAACCGGTTTGTGGTAAGTTTTAGCTCTTTATAGCACGACAGTGACCAGAAAACCACTCGACTAGCTTCAAAACGCGTTTTTCGGCAAAATCTCCAGGAGAGAATGGGTTAAATCTAAGTCATAGAGAAATCTGGTCGCCACCTTGGCGACTAAACTAAAATTTTCAGTCGCCAAGAAGAAAATGTTAGTCCCATTGGCAACCCTATCAGTCGCAATTTTGAGCCCTGTTTCGACAAAAATATCAAGAGAGTTTAAAAATGGTGGAATATCCACTCCATCAATATTGATATGTCTAGGCCGTCTAGAGATCCATATCGTTCTTTTTCAAATCCCAACATCGATGTTAGAATCCACGTTCATTGTTTTTGCGTTGCCATCGTTAGTCTATCCTCATTTTTAACTTAACATTGAGCAAGATGAAATACGCATTTACCCTCGCTAATCAAGCAAGAAACTGAATGAATTGAATGATTTTGCACCTTTTTGCTAATTCCTAGTATTTTGGAGTAATTCTCATGGGGAACCATCTATTTATTAGACAGGGGCCTTTATTAAAGAGGGGCATCGAATAAAATTTTAACAATGTTGAGGGGGCGTTTATTTGGAAGTAGACGTTTATTAGGCTGTTTATGGTAAACGACTTACAAATAGGGGCTAAGTGACTGGGGCTAAATGAGCATAAATTATAAAATTAATAGTACATACTTGATGATCCCACTTGAGTTCTCTCATGACAACCACTTGAGCTGCAGCAGCTGTTCCAGGGGATTTCTGTTTCCTTTTACTTTCCTTGTCACCTAATAGATGTGACAAACAAAGAATAAAATAACTATCCAGGACTTCTAACAACTAAGAGGACCTTTAACAATCTAGCGAAATGTTTGCATGTGTAGTTTACTTGGTTTTACTTGAATTCCTATGGTCTGAGAACTGCACAACATGTCATTACGACCTAACTGTACTCTATGGCCTCTACCTGAATAACTTTTACACAAATCCAGGCAAAACTAAATAATTAAATTTGATCAGGATTTAAGTAAACAAACAAACAACCGTTTTTCTATTTCATTACAAAAAATCGTAGTTGTATAGCAGCTGGTACACATGAACAACAAATTCTTTTAAAAAATATAAGAACTATTACTGAAAGGATAGAATTTTGTCACTTACAGTACAAAGTTAATTTATAGTACAACCGAAGGCAAGAATTAACATCCAAAAGAGCAATGTAACTCAATGCAAAAGCAGGTAGAGGCAGACCTACATCTTGAAGCCCAAACAGCCAGAGCTTAACCTAATATCTGTAGCATGAAGCATTTACACCACAGGAGTATGGCTAACCTCTCTGGATGGGATGCTTGCTCATCACAGGACACCCTTGTTAACATTCAACTTAATAAATTTACTAGAGCTTCGGAAGTTTTCAAAAACAACTTGAAATTTATTTATGAGCCAAAATACAAGAGAACTCTCTGACAGATCAGTTAGTGACAAAAGGGTGAAAACAGTTAAGATGTAACAACAAAAAGACCATTCTTGAAAAACCTGTTTTTCCAGTTAAGTTTTTCCAGAAGTAGACTGTTCACAGTCCCCTATTTTTTCGTGAGATCGTTTAGGTATACCGCGTCTTACCGCCACGGCTATCTTGATTTTCAAATGTACGGAGGGGGCCGGCATCGGGGATTATAGCTCTAGGTGAAGGGGGGAGGTGGCACGAAAAATAGAGGGACTGTAATAACATCACTGCAGCTTGCGTTCACGGAGCGCGTTGTACCAGCAACGCAGGCGTTTAATTGGTCATTAGACAATAGATGTTAATTTGCGTTGATAACAGCTTTAGTTTCAGTTGCCGACACTGACAAGTCGTTGACAAGTCAACGTTTCCATAAAACGTACGCTTTCATACCATAAGGCACATCTTGCGTAAACACACGAAGGATTTTTGATTGGGAAAATGTTTCCTTGTGCATGTTTGCCGATTTCATTTCGAGGAATGGCCCAGAAACATTATAAAATCACTGTTTCGAACGGAGATATTTGTAAACACGCGAAATAGATGCTAAATGTGTCTGGCATGCTTTTCATCACCAGCGGAGTTTCTTAATTAATGAATGGTAAAAGGCGTGAAATTCCTGTCACGCCTCCTGAACGCAAGCTGCAGTGATGTTATTACAGTCCCTCTATTTTTCTCGCTTCCTCCCAAACCGCCCCCGCCCCCTAAGTAGTTTTGACACTCATGCGAGATGGCAACCCGTAACGCAGAGCGCTCGATCTCGACGATCTTACGGAAAAATAGAGGACTGTGAACAGTCTATTCCAGAAGGTTCAAGAAACATCTGGACAGTGGAACCTCAATTTAACGAAGGGCCAGGCGACTGGCAAAATGTGTTTGCCATATCAACGAGGTTTCGTTATATCGAGGTTTTTTCTCATATCTTTCTATGACTGGGATAAAGAAAATCGTTTGTTATACCGAGGACTTTGTTATACAGAGGTTCATTATATCAAGGTTCCACTGTAATACTGATTGTCTCTTTTGAATAAACAAGCATTCACAGAAAAACTTGTCAATGTTGCTCATTTCCTCAAGCAGGGCTGTTGCTCAGATTTCAAGTTATTGGTTATACTGTACATGTTTAAATGTACAATATGTAGGCAGGGAAATGAACAGCAACAAATTTCTGTGGCAGGGCTCAAAACAAGTCCCATCCAGTAGTCCTGGTCAGGTGGATTTTCTTGCCGGACAAGTAACTTTTAAGACTCACTTGCCCAATGAGGGTCAAGACAACTGATCCTTTAATAAAATCATTAACTAAGACAAGCAAGAGGTGGATCTAATTACTCAATAAGGGTAAAGACAACTGATCCTCTAATCCTCTAATAGAATCATTAACCGAGAAAAGCAAAAGGTGGCCATAAGCAAGCAAAATGTGAGAGCCGCTTGCTCCAAGGACAAGCTGGACTTCAAGATTTTTCAAGCACTGTATTGGTTCTATATTCTATATTCCATTTTCTTATGAAAGTAGCCAGGGGTCATGCTCATAGTAGCCAAAGGGAATCCACTGTATCAGGCTCTTATTGACAGAGATGCTCAAGAGTGTGTGTCTCTCAACAACCTTCACACAGCATGCCTCAGGTACACATTTATACACCTGGCTGAACAGACAAAGTGGACTAACGTTCCTTGTCTAAGGAAACAACATGACAGCAAGGCTTAAAACCGGACATGCATTGTACAGCATTGAAAGAAAATTATTGGCTTCTTTACCTTCAGATCCTGTCCTAGACTTTTCTCCACTTTTTCCTTCCTTTTTCTTGCTTTTCCCAGATGACAATGAGCTTGCTGACTTGCTCTTTGCTTTCAGTTTTAAAGAAATGTTTCGCCTAACTGGCTGTGAGGTGGATCCTGGAGCTGCTCCCTCATGCTCCAATTCAAGATCTACCAAAACAACATAAAAAAACTAAAAGATTCGTCTCTCTTTGGTACGATGTATAGAGATCTTTTTGTCATGGATTTACCTGTATTTTTCCAGGCACTAAAAGAGATAATGTCTAGATCACTTTGTTAATATTATTTTTTCTAATTACACTTGCTTATGTGCTCAGGAACTTTGCGTTAGTATAGGTAATAGCATGATTAGTAGTGATATTTGGCATAAATACCACAAGTGATAATTATTTCAAAATTGTTATTTGTTTATACGTTTGTAATTTCACGAGCGTTTCAAATCAAGTGAAATACGGTAACCAATCAAAGAAATTTGATACAATTTTGAAATATCACAGTGGTATTTATGCCAAATATCACGCATGAAATTATGCTATTATTTGTTTACACTACTACCAGCAAGAAGGTTTGTAATTTTCACATGTAGGTATTTCAAATTAAGCTGAAATACCACTGCTCCAAGCCAATCAAATTGCAGAAATTTTTTCATGAAGTGGTATAAACAAAGAAATAATTGTTTATTATACCAATAAGAGTTACAGCAAAAGCACCAAAATATAGGGGATATACAGAAAAAATACAGATACAGAGCACTAAGAACAGCTAGATTTAAGATACATCATACGCACTGACAAGACACGCTGAGCAAAAAATTAACAAAGTAAAGGGATTCCAGATCATTTTGAAAAGCAATGTAAAAGTACAATTAGTACAAATTAAATCTAGGTAAACCTATAAACCTCAAAGTAAACAAAAAAAAGCTGCCACAAGTAAACTGTTCAGTGTCAAGTACTGTGAAATTCACAACAAGCGGCTTATTAAGGGTCTAATGATCCCAATGGAAACTGAGCTAAACAACTGATCAACAACTAAAAGAAATACATTTCATACTGTTAGAATTTTGAGAAAATTCGTCGACCAAAAGATGACATTTACAAAGGAAAAAGGTACATTTTTCATGGTCATTTTCTGAGAGTAATGGCAGAAATTCTCCTAGAACCTGAACCTAATTATAAATTGAAGTATTAAGCCCTCAAAGATTAGATATGTAATACTAGTGAGATTAGTTGAAATCAGAAGAATAACTCATCGACATAGCGCTACAAACCAGACCAAATCACGAAAAAGCTGAAAATCAACGCTGCGTAGAGTTGCAAACGTTTCATTTTCGTGAAATAAATATGAAAAAAGACTTAATAACATAAAGAAAACATGTTTTTAAAACTGAATAGCGCCAAATTAAGGATAAATTTAAGCAATAAGTCAGTGGGAAAAGCATGCTTACCGTCCTCCATCTTGAATTTTCCAGTGCTTTAGCTTATGACCGCTGTGCAGCTTGTCTCTTGATTGAGCCTTCGAAACTGTTCCCCAGGCCTACTCCAGGATGAACTTTTTTCCCCACGTACCGATAACCCTGTTTATTTTACATTGTACTCACTATCTGTCTTCTCATTGGCTAAGAGCCTATAGATAGTTTTGGAAATCAGCGCAACCTAGTCTACAGAACCTTCAGATTAGTTAGTTATCTGCTAGCGGATACCTGACTAATCTGTAGATTGCGCGCGCAATGCATGATTTCCAATAACAATATCAATTCAGGTTCCTTAGCTTGCGACGACGGTGTTTGTCTTTTTAGAAATAAGCATCACTTCGCATTTATCAGTGTTAAATATCAATTGTCCCAATATTCCAAACGAGTAAGATCTTTCTGCCGAGTTCTTCAACATCTTCCTTAGTGTCCCTCACCCTAGACACCTTCATATCATCAGTAAAGAGTCTTGTGCACGACGTAATTCCTTGAGATATCGTCATGAAATCTGGGATTGTTTTTCTTTAGTTGAAAAGCATTTTTTCAGTTAACTGTAATCAAATCCAATCATCAAAAGGTAGACAAAAAATCAAATTGAATTTACCTTTTGGCTTTCATATTTGAATTCCAATTTTGCACTATACTAACTATACTATACTAACCCTGGGTTATCTTCAGCTGAGCGAGCTGTGACAGGTTGAACCCCGGCCCGACAACCAGTCAGGGTCACTCTTCCCATTTCTTGAATACGGATGTATTCCTCTTATTTCTTTCATTTTAATCATCTAATTGATCTATTTCTATTTCTTTCCCTTTGTTCTGTTTCTTTTTATTTATTTCCTTTCTTATCATTTAAACATTTTTTTTAAAAAATATAGTTTTAACTAAAGGGAACCAGCCATCCGCATATTAATTTGCTCATGATACTTTCGCCTTAAAGCCTTTGATAGAATGATTTATTTTGGCGAGAACTAACTCTATCATTCTTCATTTGACATTAGTTGAGCAAACGTTTTGACGGAAGGTCTCAAAGATCGATTACATGTTAGTCTGTTCTTAATTACAAAGCCCATATCGCCCCATACTGTAAGGTGATCCAAGACAGTCATGGATGCTCAGGACTGGACTGGATTCTACGCTGTGGATTTCAGATTCCAGGTACTGGAATCAGGATTCCCTGTCAGTGGAATTATTGATACCAGAATTCCGGATTTTTATTAAACCTAAATTAGGGATTCCAAAGCTCAAGACTCCGGGGTGATTCCAAAAGCAAAAATTTCCCTGATTCCGGATGATTAAAGGCTGCGAGCAGTCTCTCTTTTCCTTCCGATTTAGTGAGGGAAGTACACGCGGGCAAGAGATGCAAGAAAAGAGGCGAGAAACGCGCCTATCCTGTCTCGCGCCTTCAGTCACGCGCGTGGTCATTTGCGTGCCTCGCGCGTTTTGCTCGACAGACTGAGAAAAAAGAGAGACTGCTCGTATTCTAGGATGATTACCATACATGGGGCGCTGGATTGATAAAGTGGTGACTCATGGAGAGAAGAAAGGGAAGGGATCAGCACGAATAAGGGAACGGAGACTCACACTCTCCTTAGCCTGCGTAGCTGGCGATTTAGCGGCAGATGCTGTACTTTTTTGGCGGAGGAGCCACGTGAAGATTGGGAGCAAGTCAAGGAGGGATTTTCACCTTTCTCCCTCGCGGTTTCGCCGTTCGCTTCGAGTGGCGGCTTTTCGTCTAGAAAGTACCCCAGGCGCAATAATCCCGCCAGCTACACAGGCTACACTCTCCTTCACGCCACTCCATACTTTTAAGTGCCTGGGATAGTAATGAGCTAATGAGATGCAACTGTGAGCATCATCGCACACTAAGGTGATCAAGCGTAACTCAGTTCGATCAGCGACCACAGCTTGGTTTAAAACAGTGAAGGACACTATACACCTATGGAAGAAACAGAGCTTTACTTTGCTTTTGGGTCAAATCTGAGCGCAAGAAAAATGCGGGAACGCGGCACTAGGTTCATCTCTCGCGAAAGCGCAGTACTTCGAGGATTTCGCGTCGTATTTAGCATATGGAAAGACGATGGCTTTGGTTATGCTAATATTATCCCAGATAAGGAGTCGACCGTTTATGGTGCCTTGTACATCTGTTTAAAAGGAAGTTTAGCCAAGTTAGATGAACACGAAGCAGGGAGGCTTCGGAGAGTGAACGTACAGGTGGAAAGAAAAAGCGGCGAAATCGTGGATGCGACAGCGTATCAAACTTATGAAAAGTATGTTAAAGAGGAGCTAAAACCGAGCCAAATTTATATCAATGAGATACTTGAAGGAGAGGATCTTATTCCTAAAGAATATTCTGACTACTTTAGAAACTTCTTGTGTGACAAAACTGAGAAGTAAAGACTGACGAAATCTTTTTAATTCAGTCAAAACTTATAGAAAACTCAAGAGAACATAGAGCTTTGAAGTTTATCGATCCGTGTAATGGATTGACTTATTATTGTATTTAAATTGCTACATTTTAATCCCGTTTATGTTTTGAGTGGTGAGCTGCTGGGGGTTACTTGGTCAGTTAGGGAAGGACCATTAGAAAAATGATGCGGGGTGTGGTGGGGGTTTTCTGGCCCGCAAGAACTTTTTTCTGGCCGATTGCCTGTGCAATAACGACCCACAAGAGTCATCGCTCGGCTATATTACAAAGATTTGCTCTTCTTCAAACGTAATAAGGTAATATAATATTAAAGTAAATCGTTTTCGTACCATTGAAGAAAAGTCGCCAAACCTCCAGCAATGCTCTTTTTCTCTCGGTCATCTTTCTGATAAAACTTACGATCAAAACAATGAAAAGCCTCGCCGAGAGGGTCAAAAGCGTTTTCTTTGATCCCTGGTTTACTTAAAATTCCTTAACAAGGCTTGCACTTCTAATTGTCAGAATTTCTCCTTCGTGAGTTTATCAGCCATAGGTGCATGATCTCACGGACATGCGCAGTACGTTATTCAGCCCTGTCAGTTTACCCGTACAAAACGGACATCGTAGTCATGCAAAGCAACGCACATTACGCACATTTAGGGCCCGAGAAGCATTTTTCAAGTCGGTTTAGTAGCAAACGGGATTCCCGTTTCTGTCGACATTGGGACTGGATTTTAAGGTTAACTAGCGTAATGTCTCGGGCGAGAAAGCGACTAACACTTCAGGCTAAATTATGGGTTAGAATTTTGCTTTGACTCTTTCTTGTTACATGCAATACCTGAATGATAAATACTCTCTGACATCAAATGTCAGACGAGTTATGCCATAGGGATTTACACGTTTTTTTCCGTCAAAAGTGGCTGAAAATAAAATTGCCGCCTACCTTCTCCACATAAATGTACACTAAATGTTATATCTAAGAGGAAAGTATAAAGGGAATTTTAGCAGAAAAATAGCCTAAAGGACGTTTCTGTATGAGGCAGCAGAATTCCTGTCAAGTTTAAAATAATCGTTTGTTCATCAGAGTAAACTTCAAGTTAAATGAGTCACCAGTGCGAACAATCCAATAAAAGCGCAGTTTCTGATTATAAGCTCCTACTAATAGTCTCTAGCCAACCCTACCCTACTCTACCTTATACTACTCCCAACCCTACCCTACCTTATACTACTCCCACCCCTACCCTACCCTTATACTACTCCCAACCCTACCCTACCTTATACTACTCCCAACCCTACTAAGCACGCACCATATCTAGTTCAATCACACACATAATATAGGGAACGCCTTTGAAGGGTTTTTTTATTAATTATTTTTGCTGAAAACGTTTTATCCCTGGCAAGTTCAGGCGGAAGGGCATCAATCTCAGCTCTCTATGTAAGTTTAGAACCCTTTTTATAATATCGACATTGACATTGGGGACGAAATCGTAATGTATATATTTTGGCACATCCATTTACTAAGACGCAAATCTTTTTAAACGCCTCCCTATTATTAGACTATGAGTAATCCCCATTTTTCCCCAGGTAAAGTAGAGCGAGCGAAACGCAACCGCGCGTGAAACTCACTCCACGCTCTCTACCGCTGCGTCTCGCCTTTCCTCGCGTGGTGAGATTTTCACGTGCGCTCGCGTTTCGTTCGCTCTAGTCTCTCTGAGGAAAAATGGGGACTTTTCGTAGTCTACCCTATTATTGACTCTGGACATAAAAGAGGTCCCTCTCAAAACTTAAAAGAAATTAACACACACCCTAGTGGTTTAATGGATCTTTTACGGTATAGTTCAATTTAAGGGTAGGAACGTCGTCCCCTTATTAATTGTCAAAACTTCCTTTGTGCCCCTTTGAGATTAATTAACTAGGAACTTCAAACGGGCATAGAGACGGGGAACGTATTGATTTTCAAGGAATATATGTCAAATATTTCACGTGAAAAAAAATATTCTGGAACTGAGGGAGGTTGTCCATATTTTAATCATGCAAAGATTGTGTTGAGGGCTTGTAAAGCTCGCTAGGCTTTGAAACTAGAGGACCAAGACTCTGTTCTTTCTCTTTAAGATAGCAGTTTAATCTTCAACAGCTACTTACAACAACTCTACAATTTCTACTAGCTTACACAGCGAATTAAATAACCAAATTGTAGACTTAGTTTGGGTTAGCTGACCGGAAGAGTTTCTATTGAATATCTTATCGCCTATATTGCAACAGGTTTGCTATAGTTAGATAAGCCTACACAGCCGCAACCGACAAGTACCAAAGAACCAGTTAAATGCTAACAGTAAAACTGCCCAGAAGGACTAAATATACAAAACAGGAACTCGATTGTGGGTAAAACTCAAGGTCAGCGGTACTCCCCAAACAAGCCTACTTCAAAGAAACAAAACTAACCTTAACAAACACTTCAAATGGATAATACTAGACAAAACTCAGGAACTAACCATGTGGGGAAATACACTGAATCTCTGAGTCTCTAAGTCTACAGAAGTCTATAAACTGTTTATCACGAAGCTACCAAAATCTTAAAAATAGGAAAACTGAAAAACAAAACTAAAGGCAACTACCTCATAACAATTGCAACTGGTTTGTGCGCTTTCATATTTGCTGGGGGCTGAACAATTTATAACAGGTAGACAAAGATACAGTCAAACCTCTATTAACCGGACACCAGCGCATTCCAAAGGTTCTAACATTTAATCGGTGAAGTCGCAGTAACGGAATGAGACAATCTGAAAACAACGATTTCCTTTTTAGACAAACTATCCCAATTTATTTCTCCATTTTATAGCCGACGCTTCGCTAAAAATATATAAAAATGCTAGAAATCCGATTTCTTTTGATATAAACGTAGCTAGATCCGTGATTTAAACGCCGGAAGCAGCGGGAGAAAAACCAATGCTTGCTTTAACAGTAACGGCGTACCTCATGTATGAGTATTTTATGCAGGCCACCACTGCTTGGCACTAAGAAGGTTAGGAGCGTAATTACTCAATTTCCTGGTGGATTCCGTCTTAATTTCTAGAGGTACAATTTAGGTGAGGTGTAAAACGTATCCTCTGTACATATGTATAATTAAAGGTCATGTAGACTTAAATCAAAACCAATCTAGACACTAATAAACTTAAACCAATCTGCCAAAAGAATTAAAAACTACAACTGTGTACATAATATAAAAGTAAAGAGTATATTAAATTGCTAGTCTGAAGTGCCTCTGTCCCATGTGGTATCGATGAAAATAGCCGAAATTGACTACTGATTCCCGATATTTTTCAGGTGACTATAAAACAAGTTTCAAGTGCACATGACTGGTCGCAAAATAAGCTACGAAACGTACACTGTCATTTTCAGACTACGCAAAATATTAACAGCAGATAATTTTTTCTTCTGGATACAGTGTTTCTATTCTTGCGAGGAACGCTCCACCTCGTAATCGTGACAAAATTAGAAACTGTCTTCACCCTCAGATAGTTAGGAACTGCTTCATTGCATTCTTCATCATACCTATACAACAACAACCACAACAGGAAAAGCAACGTTAGCAAGCTAACAAAAGAAAAGGATAGTGACTTCATCTGGCGAGGCATAACATTTTGACAACTGACTTTTAAGAGTGTGCTCGATTGATCGTACCCCGGAATAAGAATACGCAAAAGTTTTGATGCAAACCTCTTCTATACCGTAATTTTTGAACCATCTAAAGTTTATATAGATCAAAATACTTTATTTCAAGCAGTTTTGTAGAATGAAAGACAGAACAAGTGATTTCTGGCGAGGCTATTCCATTAGACGCGGAATACGGTGAATCGAACACGCCCTAAATTTATAAGAGCAAAGGGTCACATTAAAACTCGTACCTTCAACCAATGATTAGACTTATTGTAGATTCAAAGAAACTTACATACCATAAATTCTTTATTAAGCCTTCCTCTCTAATAAGCCTCTTTTAAGAGGAAAATCATTTAACCTCCTCCTCTCTTTCAAGTCTCTTCTCCCTATTCTTATACAATAGACGTATGATAGATGTGTTAATTTACCACGACTCTAACACTTCATGTGGACTGATTATCGGGTATGGTTTATTCATGAGCTGCAAGTTTCGATTTGATTTGGATCCTCGGCTGATCATGACCTCCAACTTCATGTCCCTGAGATTTTTCACTTTAGGTTCTAGTTCTTTATGGGGAAATGATATCACAATCTTCGCTTCATTAAATAAGCCCCTCTTCCCTCTCAAACGTTCTTGAAATGAGTAAACCCCCCGGGAGGCTTAATAAAGGATTTACCATATCTAGAGACTTTCCTAAGCGACACCTTCCGTAAAATAAGCGACTGGAAATTTGATCTTCGCATTTTGAGTCGTCGCTTACGTCAGGTTCGACTGTAAGTTACAGTGGAACGAACTCAGACGGGGCACACTTCGAAATGTGAAAAAATCATGCGACTTGAAATAAATTTTCTAGTGTTTAACTGCCAAAAGAACTACCAAATTCAGACTCCATTGTTGTTGAACTTGACCTGTGATTGGCAGATTGACGCTACGTGGCAGCGGTTGAGTTCGTTGCTCAATAAAAGGTCATAAATAACTATAATTCCTTGTTAAAATATGTTTCCTAAACCACGCAATATTATCCAAGGTTTAAATAATTATACCCTAAAATACCTTGCTATTTATTGGATGCCCTAAAACTCGAACGTTACGTCGTCACCAATGAGAACAAACGGCGCCCAGTACTTCACTGCGTTAAAGCGGTCAGATTCTCTCATGGATTTCATGGCTTTATTCAGAGACTCACTGGCACTTCGTCCATGGACTAGTTGTTGGTAGAAAACTTTCATGAACTCCATAGTAGCTTCGTCGTCGATCGCCCACAAGGACACCAGAACAGAGCGAGCACCAGCACCTAAAAATGCCCGTGCAATACCGACCACACCCTCAGATTTGACTTCTCCCCGGGCACTATGACAACAACTGAGTACAACAAGTCTTGCCCTAATTTGCGCCTCTAAAACATCTTTCATAGTTAAGAGATAGTCCTCCCTGGCTGGATTCACGGATGAACGTGTTGTGTTTGGGGCCAAGGCAATTTCTCCTGTTTCCATTTTACCGTGAGCAGCAATGTGCACCAGAGCAACCGAGGAGATACGTGTTAACACTTCATCTTTTGTTGCCTGCTTTCCAACGAGGGGTTCAGTTTGAAGTATTTCCCCAATCATCTGTACTTCCTTTGCGGCCCACGCTAACTGCTTTAGCCTCATTCCTTCATAAACTACCTCCTGTACCCACGGATCGCCGACGAGAAGAGCGCCAGTCTTGCTGTGCCAATCTGCTGGACAATTTTGGATTAATCGCAGACTAGAAAGTGACGGAAGTAGGCGAATTCTAAAAGTTTCGCAGAGGTACTTAGATTTCAAGTCAATGAAAGCAGCATAAGGGGCCAAACAAAGAGGTCCTTGTGGAACAACCACAACCTCATCGCTTTGGAGTAAGTCTCTTATAGGGTCCATAACAACTTTGTAAAATGTTTGTAATGACTTTGTCTCAAAAGATGAGGAATGAGATCTTGGGTTACTGGGGGAACTATCTTCTGCTAACTTTTTATCGCTTGGGTTTCTTAATGAGCGATCTTCACAGTTAACATCAGCTCTCACACCTATTTCTTCATGTGCAGTTTCCAGGAGAGACTGAAAATAGGTTTTGACGGAGATATCGATCTGAGTTTTTCTAGTTTTGATTTCGTTTCCTTTCTCGTTCACCCAGAGAACTATTCCTTCCTCGTTGATACCTATAAAAGCTGTATTTGCTGGTAGGTAATTAAGAATGTCAGGTGTTGTTGTAGAGAATGTTCCTATTTCACGAGACAACCCTTTAAACCCATACTTTAACTCCAGAAGATCATTTAAAGCTTGGGCACGTCCATGATCAGCAGTTAAAAGTGCCTCCACAACTTTACCTTGCTTAAACTGTAGCCCCCAGAGACTCAAATTAATATTATCATACGTACTCCCAAGACTAATCTTCCATTCGTCATTAGATATGAGATTTCCCCTGATATAGTCGAAGGCAATGACACTTTTCTTATAACAGTAAATGGCTGTCTGGAAATCTCCAAGACTGTGATAGGCGTTGCCAAGATTACCGTAGGCAATTGCTTCTCCTGCCCTGTCTCCCACTTCTTTTGAAATTTTGAGATGTCGTTCATGGTACTCTATGGCGCTCTGGAAATCTCCAAGACGGTCATAGGCGTTGCCAAGATTACCGTAGGCAATTGCTTCTCCTGCCCTGTCTCCCACTTCTTTAAAAATTTGGAGGCCTCGTTCATGGTACTCTATGGCTTTCTGGAAATCTCCAAGACTGTCAAAGGCGCTGCCAAGACTACAGTACGCTTTTCCTTCTCCTGTCCTGTCTCCCACTTCTTTGGAAATTTTGAGATGTCGTTCATAGTACTCTATGGCTTTCTGGAAATCTTCAAGACTGTAATAGGCGTTGCCAAGATTACCGTAGCCAATTCCTTTTCCTGCCCTGTCTCCCACTTCTTTTGAAATTTTGAGATGTCGTTTATGGTACTCTATGGCTTTCTGGAAATCTCCAAGACTGTCATAGGCGTTGCCAAGATTACCGTAGGCAATTCCTTCTCCTGCCCTGTCTCCCACTTCTTTGGAAATTTTGAGATGTCGTTCATGGTACTCTATGGCTTTCTGGAAATCTCCAAGACTGCGATAGGCGTTGCCAAGATTACCGTACGCTTTTCCTTCTCCTGCCCTGTCTCCCACTTCTTTGGAAATTTTGAGGTGTCGTTCATGGTACTCTATGGCTTTCTGGAAATCTCCAAGACTGTCATAGGCGATGCCAAGATTACAGTACGCTTTTCCTTCTCCTGCCATGTCTCCCACTTCTTTGGAAATTTTGAGGTCTCGTTCATGGTACTCTATGGCTTTCTGGAAATCTCCAAGACTGTCATAGGCGTTGCCAAGATTACCGTACGCTTTTCCTTCTCCTGCGCTGTCTCCCACTTCTTTGGAAATTTTGAGGTCTCGTTCATGGTACTCTATGGCCTTCTGGAAATCTCCAAGACTGTCATAGGCGTTGCCAAGATTACCGTACGTTTTTCCTTCCCCTGCCCTGTCTCCCACTTCTTTGGAAATTTTGAGGTCTCGTTCATGGTACTCTATGGCTTTCTGGAAATCTCCAAGACTGTCATAGGCGATGCCAAGATTACAGTACGCTTTTCCTTCTCCTGCCCTGTCTCCCACTTCTTTGGAAATTTTGAGATGTCGTTCATGGTACTCTATGGCTTTCTGGAAATCTCCAAGATTTTGAAAAGCAATGCCAAGATTACAGTACGCTCTTCCTTCTCCTGCCCTGTCTCCCACTTCTTTGGAAATTTTGAGGTCTCGTTCATGGTACTCTATGGCTTTCTGGAAATCTCCAAGACTGTCATAGGCGTTGCCAAGAATACCGTACGCTTTTCCTTCTCCTGCCCTGTCTCCCACTTCTTTGGAAATTTTAAGGTCTCGTTCATGGTACTCTATGGCTTTCTGGAAATCTCCAAGACTGTCATAGGCGTTGCCAAGATTACAGTACGCTTTTCCTTCTCCTGCCCTGTCTCCCACTTCTTTGGAAATTTTGAGATGTCGTTCATGATACTCTATGGCTTTCTGGAAATCTCCAAGATTTTGAAAAGCAATGCCAAGATTACAGTACGCTCTTCCTTCTCCTGCCCTGTCTCTCACTTCTTTGGAAATTTTGAGGTCTCGTTCATGGTACTCTAAGGCTTTCTGGAAATCTTCAAGACTGCAATAGGCGTTGCCAAGATTACAGTACGCTTTTCCTTCTCCTGCCCTGTCTCCCACTTCTTTGGAAATTTTGAGATTTCGTTCATGGTACTCTATGGCGCTCTGGAAATCTCCAAGACTGTCATAGGCGTTGCCAAGATTACAGTACGCTTTTCCTTCTCCTGCCCTGTCTCCCACTTCTTTGGAAATTTTGAGGTCTCGTTTATGGTACTCTATGGCTTTCTGGAAATCTCCAAGACTGTCATAGGCGTTGCCAAGATTACAGTACGCTTTTCCTTCTCCTGCCCTGTCTCCCACTTCTTTGGAAATTTTGAGGTCTCGTTCATGGTACTCTATGGCTTTCTGGAAATCTTTAAAGTTAACATAGGCGTCGCCAATAGTACTATTCCCTTTTTCTTCCTCTGTCCTCTCCCCAACTTCATCGGCAATCTTGTTGGTATTTCCAAGATTACAGGTGGCCTCTGTTTGTCCTTTCGCAGCCATTCCACTAACAAATTGCAGATAAAATCTACGTACTGCTTTTCCCGAAGATAGTTTTAATTGTCACATTTTTTACTTGCTTTGCTATTTCAGCTGTTCTGAAAAAAAGTGTACATATGTTGTGGTTTTTTTTTTTTGCCGTTGATACCATTTCTTTAAATGTTAGATAACGTACGATAAGGAAAATGAAAAGTAAAATTAAAACATTGAGTAAAAGCTTATTTATTAGCTCTTTTATTATTCGTTTTTGTCTATCATAGTCGCATTTGGTTTGCCACAAATAGTAATCGTTCTACTTGTTTTTTATCCTTGTGCAATGTGCCTTGATAAACTGGGGTCTCCTCCTAAAAAAGGAAAAAGACATTCTTTTTGGTGATCAGTGATCGAAACGAAAAAGAAACCAGATTTACCATTGTTTAAACATGGTGTATATTATCTATCTAGTCGTTGTACATTCATGTACCCTCCACTGAAAATACTACAGCTTTTGGCAACAAACTACAAATCGGGCCAGTAGGAATATTCAGAAAAGTCAAATTTCGGAAAGTGAACTTTTTTCTAAGGTTTAAAAATCTCTTGCTAGCGGAATACAAATGTACAACAAATGAAAAGAATATATATTTCTATATCACCAGTTATTTCAAGCTTGTGGAATTTCAGAAAACTATAATTATGGTTCATATAAAATAGGAAAGGCCCCCCTGACCCCTTGCCTTGCTCGGTTTCAGCTTAAGAGCGATGGTCAGGAAAAATCGAGAACAATCTTAATTTCGTGGCAGGAGTTGAAAAATGATTTGTCCATATATAGCTTTTAGGTAGATAAGAAACCTAATGTAGATTGTTCCCGCCAGAAGCCTTTTATTTGTGGTTTTCGATGTCGGAGTCTCAGACTGCCCCTAATTTTTTACCTGAAATTCGCGAACATCAACTTTCCTCGTGTATGCATCGCCGCCATGTTGGTGGACGGTAAACAAAAGATCGCTCATTAGCTCGTTTTGTTTGTCCACCAGCATTTGTTCATTTCACCATTGTTATTTGTGTTTCCCGTGACTGCATGAAAACCGCCTACATAGCTCTCTTACGTTGACGTCTTTGAATTTCTTTGAGTCATGTCACTTACGAAGATTGCAAGTTCTTTTCAAATACACCCGTCCGAGGATGAGCCGGTTTAGAAAGATTTCTGTATACAGCTTGCCCTTATAATTTAATACAAATGATAAATATGACTCTTCTGCACAGCTTTTTTTTTATGTCGTCACGCAACGCAGACACCAAAAACGGCTGTGAAGCAGACTACTATGAGTACGGACATATATGCATAATAAATCAGTGAAAGGGCTGAGATGAAATCCTACAGTCCCCTGCGAACTGAAAGATCAAAGACAACTGGCGGCTTATTAAAAAGAGACATGCTTTGACAAACGTTTCCGCGAGATAAATGACCAAATGCCGTTCTAAGGTAAGGAACCGTGGAGTTCTAGTAAAACTTCAGCTAATACAATGCCTGCCTCTATAAATTCCCGAGTAGTCTTGATAGTTCGTTTGATTGGTCACGAGGAAGTAGTCTACGAAGAAGTCATATTTTGCAAAACAAGTCAGTATAAAAGTCAATTGCATTTTCCTTTAAAAATAACCGGACTTGCACAAAACTTACCTATAAGCAACAATCAATCCTTCTACCAAGAAGAAATTAAACCTATGTGATTTTTCCCTTTCCTTAGCTTTCACTTTCATTTTGATCAAATTACATCAAAAAAAGTGACGTAAGTGCTTCCAGAAATAGCTCTCGAAATGCAGCCATCCAATGAAAATTTGAAAATAATAAAGCATATGAGGGATTAGCCTGAGGGAGTAAAAACGACTCGAAGCAATCGTCTGTAATTCCGTATAATGAGGGGTCAAATTAAATTTAATATACAGTTACGTCTTTTGGTGATAAGCTTTCCTTGCCAGCCAGATGTTTCTCTCTCTGTTTCGGATCCCACGACAGAACTCTCGCCTGCTACTATTTTTGCAACCGTTTACGTGCTGCGAAGCCATACGTCGCGTGATTAGTGTCAAATCATGTCTGAAAATCCGGGTAGCAATGAAATCAGCAGTAAAAAAGGTAGCCGCTCGATAGAGGTTTACTTTCCCATTCTTTTCTACAACTATTTCGGAACTTTGATTACTGGCCGCTTAATGGAGGATGGCTGCTTAATAGGTGGCCACCTAATGGAGGTTGAACTGTATACAGAGTGGGATGATAACCATGTATGCATTGATAATAAATCAGTGAAAGGGCTGAGATGAAATCCCACATGATGGATACTATCGCTGAAAAAGTCCCCTGCGAACTGAAAGATCATAGACAACAAGGCCTTATTAAACAGAGACACACTTTGACAAACGTTTCCGCGAGATAAATGACCAAATGCCGTTTTAAGGTAACTAAGAACCGTGGAGTTCTAGTAATGCCTACCTCAGTTATAAATCCCCGAGTAGTCTTGATAGTTCGCTTGATTTATCACGGCGAAAAATTCTATGAGAAAATCATATTTTGCAAAACAAGTTAAAGTTCAGGTTCAACTGTTAGTCCAGTGGCTAAAGGCTAGGATCTATACAGAGCGGACAAAAGCACCAAACTTTGCATGGTTGTAGCTCAGGGCATGTTAGTCGTTATTCGGATCAGAACTGCTCGGTGTAGTTCCTTAACAACCCCTTCATGATGGGTGGCCTGTGCTGAAATTGTAATCCCTTGTTCTTGCCATTTTTGATGAAAATTACATAAATGGCATGTAGATGGAAAAAGAAACTGTATTACTACTATTATTGCTAAAACCAATGACTAAAACAAGTCAACTTAATAATAATATAGCAATAATGATATACCAAGGTGGGTGCCCTGTGCTAAAATATCAATTCCTTTTTTTTTTTGGCCATTATTTTGATGAAAATCACATGAAAGACATGTAAATGAAAAAAAGAAATCGCATTATTATTGAAATAAATGACAAAAATAAGTCAGCTAAATGATATAGCAGGAAAATCCAAGGAATGTGTATTCAGACCGCGCGTACTCCGTCCTAAATGGCTTTTCAAGATGGAGGCTTAAAGAGGTCTTTACAGGGACTGTACGTATTTCTAGAATTGCCGTCTTCATGCAAAATTGTGTAAAATTTTAATCAAGACGTTTGAATGAAGTTTTAAGCTCTTCTTGATGATGTATTTGTTATCGAAAGCAACGAGAAAGGAGAAGCAAGCATGTTGAAGCAGACCAGAAACAGTCGGAAGGCTGACACTCGGTGAGACCGCAAAATGTGATTTGTAACGAAGATGGTGGGAGCCATCTATACAGTTTCTGTACATTGAAAGCCGACAGAAATCTATGACGTACTGCCAGCGATTTACAACACTATGGTCTTCCGAGAATATCTGGTGGAGGAGTGATTGCTGTAGAGGCGAAATAGTATCATATGCGCTGTTTAACTGACTTGCGTTAAACCAATGGATTCTCACTCCTCTCTTGTCGATTCTCATCCTTGGCAAATACGACAACGATCCCAACTAATATCCATCTTGGTGTGTAGAAACAAGCTGAAACTCACTAATCACGATAAGGCTGAAATCGTGGTTATCTTCTCGATGTACCGTACTCGACCACTCTTCAGCGACTTCAATATGGGTAATGCAACGCTGACAACCACCGCCAACAAAGCCAAAAGTCTGGGAGTAGTATTTGATGACAAAATGCTATTTGACGCCCACGTCTCAATATTTGCAGATCATCGTTTTACCAGCTCAGGAACTTATCAAAGATAAGAAAGTAGCTCACACAGGTGTCTAGCGAAATTGCTGTACATTCTTTCACGTCTAAAATAGACTATTGCAAATCCTTGCTCTGCGGTTGTACGAAAGCGCAGTTGAAGAAAATTTTAACGATATGTTCAGAACACTGCCCCCAAGAATCGTTACTCACACTAGTCGGTAAACTTGAACACATGGTCAGCGACCAGCGAGCATGAAGGCCGCGTTTTTTTCTAACTCTGCTAGACTTTATTTGATTTTTCTTTCTTTTTTCTGTTTTTTGACTTACTTTTTAACAAAAAACCTAAGAACAAAGTTTTATAAGTTGTCCTTTAATTTCTTTTTTTTTATTAAAGACTACAAGTTTTTTTACTATACGTAACTTTAAGGGGCACAATCACAGATTACGTAGACGTACCCCTCTCCTTTCCTTCCGATATACAATGTGAATAAAATTTTAAAATGCAGTAATTTTGTATTGTACGTTTTCATTCATTGTAAATTTTATTTGTCACTTACTTTTTCACGTTCAGATATATCAAATTCTGTATTATCATCTGCTAAAGTTTGGAGAAACAAATAAAATAAAATGAAAATGAATTACGCCTATTTCATTTGAGCTTCACGGGCTTCCTATTAGTTATTATGTTATTTTAAACTTCTTTTGTCAGTTTTCAAATCACTTAATAACCTTCCATCTAGCTACCTAGTGGACAGAGTTATCAAAAGCACCCGAGGTACCTGTGGTCCGCAACTCAGCAGCAGTTAGAACAACCTCGAAAACTCACGAAAACTTACGGAGACAAGGTTTTTCATTGTACGCCCCTAAACTGAGGACCTCACTACCATTAGCTAGATTTGCGCAAGTCACCATCTTTAGCTAGTTTAAAGAAAGGACTGAAAATATATCTTTTTACGCAATTTTTAGAGAGTAAGTCAATATTGTTGAAAAACGTCTTTAATATCTGCACATCATATACGTATAATTATAGTATTAATTTTAACCAGAATTCACAAAATGTGTGTGTGTCATGTGTGGCTTTCGATAGAAAATTTATCACCAAAAAGAGCTTAAAACTTCACTTAAACCTGTCGTGATTCAAATTGTACACAGTTTTGGATTAAAACTGATATTCTAGCAGATACGTACAGTCCATGTAAAGACACTTTCAAGCCGCCATCTTGAAAGGTCAAAGTATGAGATTTAGTATACGTCT